TCTAGTTTTCATGACACCAACCACACACTAACGGTTTTTTATCATTTTTTTTTTTTTTTCTGTTAAATTTTTTTTTTTTTTTTTTTTTTTTTTTTTTTTAACGAATGCCAGTTTGTTTACACGAATTAAAAATGCCATTTTAAAAACATTGAAAAATACACTGTGACGATACTAAGAAAACAATGCCGACAAAAATCTATTGTGGATGATGTGTACATTTGTTGTTGGCTTTCGAATGTGAGATAGCTAGCAGAGACCTCCCTTCTTATTCATGTTATTATTCCCTTAAATAATACAGAAAAAAAGTGCTTCAGGGCAGCCTTACGTACTACTTCCTGTATTTCCGGTTACGACGTCTTGCGAAATAGCCTTAATTACTGTCAACAGTTTGCTTGAAGTCGTTTCTTTGTATTTCAAAACAAAGATGAATATTTAAGCAGTCCTCTTTTGTACTTTTAAAGAACAGGAAATATGATATGCTAAAAGGTTGTGAGGAAGACAGTGTAAGATTTGTTTATGTCTGGGGTACAGACACAAGTCCCCTCGAATTCGTTTGATCCAAGCGTGACCATGGATAGCGTTACGAAATTGACAAGTATAATTTCATATTGAACTGTTTGACCCAATGACCATCAACTGACTGAAGGTTTCCATTTCAATCCGTCGTTGAATTCATATGATTCAGTGGTCTAAAACTATTCTTAAACACAAAAAAATATGAGGACTGACAGGCTTCATTTCTGGGTACTGTTTTATTACTTGCTAAACGATTTTGATCTGTTTTTGTTCGGACCTTATCGTGGCATTTATTCCGTTGAAGCCGATGGAGCCGGGATGATGGACAATTCTTCACGTTCACAGAGAAAGCCTGACGATACTCAAAGGCAAAAATTGTTAACAGCGCTTCAATATGTGGAGAAGATTCAGAGGCAAATGTCGAAGAGTTTGAACTGTACGCCTAATCAATCTGTTATCCTCGATATCGCTTTTCAGCATGCTCGATGGAAGAGCGAAGCCCTGCTTGCCGTAAAAGTAGCAAATCTCTTGACTTCATTATGGCGAGTAAGAAACGCGAATGGCTCCTCCATGGCGGAGAATGACACTTTTCTTTATAATCTCGTACGATCGAACCTTCTTTTTTCGCCTTCCGTTTTCGGCTCCGTCATTTGCTTTGAAAAAAACCAGTACAGGGACTACGTGATCTTTTGCCCGTACGCCTTCAGGGACAAAAAATATGGTGGTGCTGTCCATGTTAAAGACATTTCCGTCGGTCATAATTATTTAACAAGTCCAGAAACCATTTGGTGGCGGGAGCCACGAGAAATAAATTTAAGGCGATCACCGAAGCTCCGCAAGGACATAACTGATATATACACTGTTCGACATAACCAAACTACCGCAGAGCCTGTCCGTAACGTTTCGGTACCAGTTGTAGAATACGATGCTGATGGTTTCTGGACTCGTCCCTACTTCGATTGCTTTGGCGGAGAAATCTGGATGATCACATTTTTGGCGCCGTTTTTTAACGAGTCAAATCAATTTCTGTGAGTATTTGTTTCTTTTCTTGTATGTTAACTTGTCATGACGTGCTTGCTATTGCGTTATACACGTAGTTACGTATTACATAGTAGTTATTCGCCTCATTTAAGCGCTGGAAGTATAGAGCAGACTGATTGTTCGAAAAGACTTATCATATATTTATGAATCGGTTGCATTGGAGACGGCAATCAAAGCTAGTACAAATTTATTTAGAAATGAAAAAAAAAACAAAAACAAAAAAACCCCGGAATTTTGCGTTTTTCTTTATGGAAGGCAAGATTGTTGATATTGTGCGGTTGTTTTCCTCTTGAGCAATATAATTTTCCGAAGTACCTTGAACTTGAAGATTTGTTAAATACCGAAACATCATAAATCATTTTCATTTACGAATGTAAATTTTGAGGTAGCGCCATGAAAATGAATACAATAGATGAAAACCGAAAGAAAATAATTACGGTTCGTATAACTTTTACATGGTTTTTAGCACGTATAATCGTGGAAAAGATTAGTATATTTATAATCTTTAGCTTTTGGTGGTGAGTGTGTGGGAAATGATTGATGCGAAATTACGTGTTTGCAATGCCAATCTGTCCACAAAAGTTTGACCAGACCATTAAAGTTTAAAAATTTCATTGAAAATAATGGTTCTATAGAAAATAATTTGAAAAGTTCACCATGCCGTGGGGTAAATTAAGGTAAAATGTTGAGCAAATTTCAGTGGGAAGTTGGACATATCTTATATAATCGGCTTATTAAAAATCACCCGTTATGATCGGTACAAGTGTAAGCGTGTCCAACAGCAATTTATAACCCAGTATTTTAGCAAACAGTTGATTGAAACCATCGTTAACAAGAACGAACCGCAATGCATGTTGCTGTCTTTAAATCCTCAAAAGCTGTCTCATTATCTTACAGCTGTTAAGACATACTTGTTCAATAGCGACAGGCCTAAGAGGTTTTGGTTTACTTTGTCAAAAGAAGATCAAAGCCAATTTTTCTTTTTTTCCTACGCATTTATTTTAATTTTTTTTCCTCTGTTCATTAACTAGGCATCGCTGTTTCGTATCGTATCGTATCAAGTTAAAACGCGTTTATTTCTATATTAGAGCCCAATTTTTCGGCTGAAACATGGTCTTTACTGGTATGAAACACCACTGGAATACAGTCATCAATACTACCGTGTGAGGAGAGATCGGGACCATATTTCCCTGCCGATTCGGTTTTCCTAGTTAAGTCAGGATATTAGATAAAGCCAGCTTATCTAGGAAATCCTGGGAAGGTATATGAATTATAATTGGTCATCGAACGGGCACAGAAACTTGATAACATGGTGGACGCTAACTAATTACCTTCACTAACTAACTACATTTGGCCGTAGGCAGAAAACGAGCGGCACGAAAGAGCGAATTAAATTTCCGTAGTCCAGAAAATAAAAGAAAAGAAAAAAGAAAAAGAAAGAAAGAAAGAAAGAAAGAAAAAAAGAAAGAAAGAGGAAAGTGGGACGTTTTAACTCTCTGTATCTTTACTATCAAATAGAAGAAGAAGTATTTGAGGGTGCCAGTCGCCTTCGGTTTTCATAAATAATATTTTAGAGTGGTTTTTGACATTGCTATCATTGAATCGTTCCCGCTTGGGTAATATCAGTAGGTACGGTAAAATTAAGAACCCGCTTATTTCCATACCATTTATTCTACAGTTACGGCATGGAAAACAGGTTGCCCTCATTAAGAATTTTTTTTTTTTCAACATTTCTTTTCCTTTTCGCTCTTTTTAATCCTCGCAATCTAATTATTTCTGCTTTTAAACGCGTTCCGAGTTTGATTTTCTCCTTCAAAATCAGCGTCTGGCTAACTTGAAGAATCATGGGAAAATTAAGTTCTACCTGTCTCGTTTTATACCGTTTCCAACCTATGCCTTCACTCGTGTCTTTTATTTGTACAGTGGACTTGGATTTTCCATTAGCCTCTCTCGATGAGTTTTAATGCTCTTAAAGCAATTATTGCATTACACTAACAGCAAGGTCATATTTATTTGCGAAGAGTCTTCGCCAATGAATATGATGTTAAATCAATAGAGTGTGCGTATTTTTATGCTGAAACCCATCTGCTTTATAATTATGCACAGCGAACCCTTAAAGCGGAAAGCTTATCTATTATTTTGCGCCCCATACTGCGGACTTTTTAAAAGACAGCTTTTGAGGTGGGTATAGGGGTGAGGACATATTAGGAAGTGAGGGGAAGGGGGGGGGGTAATAGATCAAGGAATACGGTATTTGAAAGTTACATGAACGTGCAAGCAAATGTTATCAGGAAAAGTCGTTTTTACTAGATTGGTCTGTGGTTAGCTACAATTAGCGAGATTATCTTCCGGCTTAAAGCTTTAAAGCGATAAAACTTAAATCCCATCATCTCTGTGATGGTTTTGAACGTTGTAAGAGTAGATGACCACTACGTTCTACTTTCAAGACCTTTGACCTCTGAGCAAACGTACTGATTGCTTGCGAAAACTTGTTTCAAAACCCCATTTCCGTTCAGTACAGCTAAACGTTTCAGTAGGTGGAAAGACGATTTCAGTTTTTAAAAGGAGTGAGACATAAATACCCATGGTGCTGAATACTGTTGTGTGCTGTTGTGTGTTGTGTTTCAATGATGATAATGATAATCATACTACCACTACTGCTGCTGCTACTACTACTACTAGATGGTGATGGTGATGGTGATGGTGATGGTGATGGTGATGGTGATGGTGATGGTGATGGTGATGGTGATGGTGATGGTGATGGTGATGGTGATGGTGATGGTGATGGTGATGGTGTACCACTACCACTACTACTACTAACACTACTACTTCTACTACTAGTACTACTACCACTACCACTATCACTACCACTTCTACCACCTTCACTACCATCCGTACATTTCTCTCATCTGGAAATATGAGACGATTTGTAATGTGGAATTCTTTAAATTCTCCCTGACCATCCTAGTTGTAATACACATTCTTTTTTCAGCAAATGTCAGAACCAAACCTCGGCCGTGCCTTTAATTTGATTCCCAATCTCATTTTACTTTCTAATTTTTTCACGTTCAATCTTTATGTTTTTTAATTTACTTGTTTATTTATCTATTTATTTATTTATTTATTACTTATTTCAGGGGTGTAGTGAGTATAGACGTTGAGCTGAGCAGTATTGATATAAATCAGTGCGATGCTCAAGATTCTACGGAAGAAATTGGTGGCGGAAAAAATGGGAAAAGTGACAGAACAGGAAGTACAGATTCGGTGAAGCTACTTGAGTTCATGGGCACGCACAAGTGCAAGAAGTCGACAAAGGTAATAACAAATCCCCTCCAAAAATGACGACTGTTTCATATTATCTTGGTTACATTTTAAGCAAGATGCATTATAAAATAAGGTCTTCTTCAGGTCTCAGTGTCTAGATGGGGCATAGCCTGAAAAAACAGCCGTCGACATTCCGCGACACCACTACTGCATGGTTTCCCTACGAAATGACGCCTGAGAAACAAGCGCAGAAATGCCATACTGATAACCCGTCACTACCCAGATCTGGGTAGTATTTCTGGTTGGTTGCACAGAGTGAGAAATTTGCTTCAACCAATCAGATGCACTAGCCAGATCTAGGCAGTGATTCGTCATCTGTATGGAATTTCTACGCTCGTTTCTCAGACGTCGTCTCGCGGGGAAACTAGTGGTGGCGTCAAGAAATGTCGGCTATTTTCCCAGGATAGATATGGCAGTACGACAGCTTATTTCTGTTATTTGCTTATTGGTGTCGTTTCTTCGTTTCTTCCTTTTGTTTTCTTTCAACCGCAAATTCCAATTACAGTTGACTCCCGATAACTCGAACCCTCCCTAACTCGAACCTCGCGCTAACTCGAAACAAAATCGATTTCCCCTGGATTTACGTCATATATTTACTGTGATTTTACCCTCGGTAACTCGAACCCTCGATAACTCGAAACTTCCGCTAACTCGAAGTAATTTTTGTTTCCCCTAAGATCATTTCTATATAATTCTACCCTCGATAACTCGAACCATGTTTTGAGCCCTTAAAAAGTCGGGAAAAAACAGTGTACTGGCGTCCGAAACATTGAATTTTGAATTTCCCACTGACGTGTTGTAGGCATATAGTTTACTGGTGGATCGAAAGTAGAGGCTGATGTTGTTTGCCACAAATCTAACGTGAAATAGCTTTACTTCTCAAAAAGTAAAATGCGTGCTCTATTTAGGCAACGTTTTGTTACTTTGCGTTCTGATTAATAATCTAAAAATATCTTTCAATTTTCACTCAACATTTCTACAATTAAATGTGATTGAAATGCTCACTGTGCAGTAAAAACTGCTTTTTCCTTACTCCCGGCTATTTTCTTCGAGCTCCCGATAACTCGAACTCCCGATAACTCGAACCCTTTTCGATTTCCCTTGAAGGTTCGAGTTATCGGGAGTCGACTGTAGTCAGTTTCGAGTGTCGACGACGTTACCCTTCACTTGCAGGTAGCTGAAGAACAGCCACTTACAAAGTACTTTGAATTGTTTGATAATGCAGGAGGTAGCGTGTCCGAGTGATAAGAGCTCTGGACCCGCAGATCCTGAGTTCGAGTCCTAGGCCAAGCTTGTAAAATACCCAGCTGGTTTGCCTCTTGCCTGTTGTGATACTTAATCTTGTTATGTTGCATTTGAATTATTTCTTTTATTGATTTCCTCGGTCTCATTAGCCTTTGTTGCCTTTGTTTTCATGTGCTGTTTACATTTTCAAATAAAGATGAAAATAACACAAAAAACGTCTATAACGCTTTGATAACAGTGGAAAAAGCTCAATTTGAATTCGCCCGGCTCCCCGCATTTGTAAATCGCGTATTGAACTAGAAGTGGTATGATTACCTATGCAAAAAGGACGCGGTACAATTTTCTTTGTTGTGTTTCAGTGCGAACCGATCCCCAATAACGGATTCAAACGAGGTAGTTATCGTTGCACCTGCAAACCAGGATTTTATTTCCCAGACATCAACGCAAACCTGAAAGCTTTCAACGGCAGCATTATCGAAGAAGAGTATGACAAAAAGATGAAAGGACTCCAGACAGACTACGATGACAAGTTTAATTGCATTCCATGCAGTGAGGGTTGTGAGGAATGTACGGACGGCAGCCCTTGTATTTACAAGGGACAAATAATTCCTCGGATAGTCCTTATCAGTGTCAATGGCTTAGCTGCCATGATGGCTATTATGATCGGAGTTATGGTATTCTACCTCCGGGACAGTAAAGTAAGTAATAGCTGATCGGTTCGTTCGTTTTTAAATTCAGACGGCAGGTCAAGGTATTTCAATGATATTTCCTAGTTTGGCTAGCTAATTATGTCCCAACTAAAAAAGGATTTTATTTATGTTTAGAGATATAAGGCTTTGATAGATTGTGCCAGCATGTTTTTTGGCATAATTCGGTCATCACAAGCATAATTTTCACCAGTTTCCTGAAAAAAGCACTGCTAACATAATTTTCACTTTTGTTTGGTCTTGCAGCACAAAATTGTCATTCATTGATCAAGCAACCAATTTGTTTGGCCCGAGATTAATGTTACAGGCCAATTTAAGTAACAAAATCATTATTTTGTCTGCTTATTGTCTGTTTATTCATGGGACCTGGATCTCACAGGAAGTGACCCAGGATTCTTTCTACAGGACTCGGCGCATGCACATAACTAGCTCGGTTACCCAAGATGGCGTCCAAGTGCTAGTTGTTACCGATTGTTAATTGTTTGAGTTTTTATAGTTGTCTGACAAAGAATTATGCATTCTTAAAGTTTCTTGATGTAAATAGGGTAAATGTGTTTGCCATTTACTTGTTTGCTGCATAGTTATTGAGGTGTTTCAAGCAAATTTAAACTAAACAAGGATAATTTCAGCAGTTGTCACTAAAATGAGCATAATTTACAAAAACTAGCATAATTATTGGCATGAATATACGAGTACTTCTAGTAGCATATTGTGCTACTTTTGCGAGCACAGTCTATCAATTAAGCCTTTTTAGAAATCACTTCATAATAATGAATAATTATACCGGAGCACCATGGTAATAAAATTTGTTTACCTATGCATCCAAGAAATTTTCGTTGTGAAAAAATCGTGTGAACGTATGTCCGTCCGTTCGTCTGTCCGTCCATATGTTAGCGGAATGTGATATGTCACACTTTCGCTTTGGGGTCCAAGGAATATGCAATCTGCTAATCTTAATCCTGGGTATCTATGTCAATTGAGAATGGTCCAAAAAGGGTATCCGCAAACCATTGTTACATAACTGTATCGCGGGCTTAGGTGTGGACGTGATTTTTTTTTAAGGTTCTCCGTTCACCAGTTATGTTTTCAATTAATCGCAGGCTCAGGTTCATTTTTTTTTTAAGGAGTTTAGTTCGCTTCTTGCTTATGGCAAAAGCTGAATTACTGCAGAAAGAGATTTCTTAAAAGATCCCTCGATAGCTTCGCTTTTGGCCTTGGCTAAATCTTTACATTAGTTATTCTTCTCTCGGTCAGGTATTTGATGTGGCAAGTCCTGTTTTTCTGGAAATTCTTCTTCTCGGTTCTGTTTTCATGTATTCATCGGTAAGTCGTGCGACTTTCATTGTTTTTCTCTTTGTTTCGTTCTGCATTACTCTCATATTAATTTTTTTTTTACCAATGATTCAAACTTTCTGCTTTAGTTGGCGGCAGCTTATGTTGGGCCCTCCTCTTTGACCTGTACGATAGAAATTTGGTTGTACCAGTGTGGATTCTTTGTTGTTTATGGAACCATCGTTTTGAAAATTTGGAGGTAAGGCTCATGATCATGCACTCGACAATTTCGTTAATGTTTTTCTGTTACTGCTACAAGGAAAATCTATTGTTGTGTTTACACACCCCTTCTTAAGAAAAAAAAAGTAACAAAGGCAAAAATGATGATAATAATAATACTACCCTGTACATGACGTTGTCTTCCTTCGTTCCGAAAATCGACGAGCACGCTGTTACAAATTATGTGTGATACAGTCAGTTCTCTGTAGCTTTAATTCTTCACTCCATGGAAAGTAGATTTCTTCACATGTTCATATTTTAGAATTCTGTACTGTGTTCTACACTTAAAGGATTCATCGACATCTATTCGCGTAAAAAATTCGATGATCTACAGTCAATCTACACACCCGATCAGCTCCACGACTCCGAACGACTACACAGTTCCAAGACTCTTGCACAAAGTTCAGTTCTCAGATCACGTGACGAGTTTTCCGCCACAATGAAACACACGCGAGCGAAACACACGCGAGCGAAGCGGGCGCGCCTGGGCGAGCGCGGAGCGTCGCACCCCCTTTACGCTAGTGGTTAAAAATCCACCGCGGTTTTTATTTTCATACGCTCACTCGACGATCTCTATAAGAGAAAATATAGGGTCTGTGAACAGGCCATAATAATACTCTCCATCAAGTATACTTCTACTTATTTATTACCCTATTCCTTAGGAATGGGCTCGTTTATTACGTTGTATTATAAAATAAAGTTAAAGGAGATGATTTATAATAAAGTCGCTCCCTGACGAGGTCGTTGCGAGTTCAATTACATTCTTTAAAATTCTTTGCGGGTTTTTCTTCTCCCGGTCGAGATTTTTAATCCACGTTACGACGGCAGCGGATCGTGTTCGTTTTCATTTGATAGAGCAGCTGACTGGATTTCCATTTTTTTGCATTTTTTTGCATTTTGTTGTTGTGTTGTTGGTTCATTTTAAAACCTTTTATTTTCTCTCAGAGTATCAGCTTCTTTCCGTGTCCGTTCTCCAAGGCGAGTTGAGGTGACGGAAGGCATGATGGCTGGCCGTTTGATTATCTTGTTCTCTTGCCTTGTTATTTACCTACTCGTATGGACTTTGCTAATGCCTCCTCACGTCATTACCAATACAAGTGTGCTGAGATTCAAACAGTGCTCTCTAGGTGACATGAATTACGTTAACTTTTGCGGTGAGTTCAAAATACAGATTAAAGACGTATTGCTGACGACAAAAACGAATCAGCGACCCTCTCAGATTAAAAGATAAAATAGTTATTAAATAACGTTTTTGTCCGCCAAGGCTGATAATACGTACCCTGACCTTGATTGTTCCAGATATTACAAAACCCTTATCTAATAATTGCTTTATTATACAATGCAATTGTTTTGTTATACAAAATGAAATAATGACAAAAGCACCGTCGCACGGAACACAATTTGAAATTGATCTTGGAGTCATACATTGCAAGCAACCTGTTGCTAAGTTAATTATCTGGTAGCAGATAACTGACTAATGTGTAGGTAATGTGCTGTTATTCAAAATTAGTTGTAAGCTCTTAGTCAATGACGAGACACATAGACATACTTGTATTCGTGAGAGGACATAGTTTATCTCGTGTTTTTGCTTTGTTTGTTTGTTTGTTTGTTTTTTTTTTATCTTTTCCCGAAGTTTTAAACAAATTATGACCTCCTCTCCACTGTAGTTATTTTCCTCTTTGACCTTGCTATGTTTACTCGTATTATTAGTTTCCTTTTCTCCAGAGCACTGAGAAAACAGCTGACATTTAACCACGCCTCCACAGGTTTTCCCGCGGAATGACGTCTGAGAAACGGGCGCACAAATTCCATACTGCTGACGCGTCTATCCAGATCTGGGTTGTAACGCGTTTATCAATATGGAACTTCTGTGGTCGTTTCTCAGACGTTATTTCGTGGGGAAACCAGTAAAGGCGTCGCGAAATGTCGGCTGTTTTCTCAGGCTACATGGCAACTATGTTTTACTTCACCAGTGACTGCGCGCTTTTCATAAAAAAAAACAAATGAATACATATGGGCTAGACACTTAGTACATGTACATTTATCAATGTTATACTTCCCCTATTTAATTGTATATTTTTAATCATTCATACTATCCAGGTAATTTTATTCTTTTGGCGGTTGCCTTGTTTCTTTGTGTCCGCGTTCGCAATGCACCATCGGCCTACAACGAAACAAGATTTACCACTTGGGCTGTCTATAACGCCATGTTCGTCACGTGCTTTGTTGCTGTATTAAGGTAAGTTAAAAGTGGTTGAAATTGTTCAGTGCCTCTCCTTAGAAATGATAAAAACCTCTATTTATGCCTGTCAGACATGTAATTGAAACACCTTTTGTTTCAGAATTCTTACTGCGAACAACACCAATTCCGACATTCTGTTCGCCACAAAGTTTATACTGATTCAGATGACAGCTACAGTCACGTTGCTGTTATTGTTTATACCGAAGGTAACTGATTTTAAAGTGTGTTTGTTTGTTTGTTTGTTTGTTTTTGTCCTGATTGTTGAATAAGGCCTCCTTCGTTTTTGTCTCCGGTTAAGCCTTCCATCCACATGAAACAAATCAAACCTAGTACTTGGGTGCCGGCACCGTGCCCGAATTCTAGCATGGGTGCTTGAAAAAGGGGAGTGTTCACAGTAGTGTCCAGCGAATACTGTACTTGTGCACCGTGCCCGGACACCTAGTGTGAACGCTGTCCAATATTTCCATTGTAACCCCCCTCGGCTGCTGAGGCAACTGGCATGCAACAAGGATAAAAACTGAGGTTTTTAACCTACACCAGCGTAGGTGAGTTGGTCAGGAATGTTGACTGTGGTTCTGGAGTATCCGTAATGAAATTGTCCACGTGTCAGATCTGGCGATCATATTTGTACTCGAGTAGAGTAGAACAATTTGAAAACGCTGCTGAAATTAAGTAAAAAAGACAACTCATAGTTACATATCGTACTGGCCCGGGTTTTTTAAAATTTGGATAGCGCTATCCACCGGATAAATTACTATCCAGCGGATAACTATTAGCGAAACCAGTTGCGCTATTCAGTGGATAGAGATTTATCCAGTGGATAATGTTAGTGTGGACAGGGCCTAAGGCACTCAAATAAACAAGTATGAGAAATTAAAAAATCGTTAAGGTTTTGCTAAGTGGCAGTTTTTTTTATTAATTCGTTAATAGCTTGTCTTACTACGTAAAATGCGAGGGAAGGAGTTCAGCCGTCGTTTAACTGAAATCAGTCATGAACCAAGAAGCTCAATCCAGACCTCCAACGGAAGTTATTTACATGATGTATCATCACTGGAAAGAGAAAACGAGGATTTAAAGGTAGTTTTTGTTTAGAACGTTTTCTCTTTTATTTAGAATTGCCTCACCCTGCTAACAATGCCTTTCTTTTACTTGTTCGATTTGGTGTACTCGAGAAGGAGTCTGCATGAATCGGGTAAAATCTTTGTTGAGCATGCGCGGCATGTTGTTAGGATATAGTTTCAAACCCAGGCCTAGTAGCCGTTTGCTTGATATACCGGGCTCAGTCATGGCCATCGGTTTATCAATAAATGGATGCTCATACTCGGAAAACCATTATGACGAGAGAGAAGAAGGTCAACTAGTCCCGAAATTCGAGCTGCGGTGACTTAATAGCCTTGACGTGATTCTGAAAGATCCTCCTTTTCTTCTTCTCATTTGTAAGGCTGCGATTCTTTAGAATATCCAAAAATACCATTCACATTATAGTCAATAGGATTATAAACAATTACCCATTGATAGCTTGGCTTCACGTTGACAATCATTATTCCTCACGCAATCCAAACTTAGTAATCCATCACGCAATTATCTAGTTTGTAATGAAAATGTAATGTATGTATTTTGTTTGTTTGTTTGTTTGTTTTTTTTCACAGGAGGAAGTTAAGAGACTAGCCAACAAAGTTGCCAATCTGCAGTCTCGTCTCATGAAGGACAAAAATAAGCACATAAAGAGCACTAGCAATAGTCTTTCTCGAATTCGTTCCTCGACGAACGATGAACATTGTGACGATCACACACAGAAAAAAATGTCTTCGTCACCATTTTCTAGTTTCCTGAACTCGCGAGTATGAATGTTTTTCTTATGTTGTGTTCACACAGTGGCTTAACGTGTATTGCCTTAATATCAAACACCTTTCACTCTGAAATGGGTTCACACGAGAGATCGCTCGTTCCCAGACGCCACTTTCCCCCTGTTAAGTGAAGAGAGCCCCTAAGGTTTTCTCCTTAACAGAGGCTCCTTTGTGCCAGTAGGAGAATGGGGAGAGGAATGAGGAGAGGGTAAAAATAGGTTCCGCATGCAACACTCAGATGTTTATTCTGTCTTTCATGGGCTGTTGAATAACTAGCTTTTATTTGAGTTTCTGCCTGTTTCTTGCTTTTGTTTTTGTTCTTGTTTTGTTTTGTTTTGTGTTATGTTTGCAAACCTGTTTTGTGTCTGATGTGAGCACAACATGAATATTCGATAAAACTACAGTTTTAATATGAATTAAAAAGTGTAAAATAATGTTAAGTAAACTCGAAAAATCGGTGGTTTTGTAATTATTTGAAGACCTACGAATTACGTGCTGTCTAAAATCATTTTCCCCATGCAACCTCTCAAAAAAATTCGCCATGCCTACGTTATTGAAATTCTAGGGACAACAAATGAGCTTGAATAATCGCGTCCTCGTGTTATTTTAATCTGTTTTAGCTGTATGTTCCTAGTTCGACCGTTGAGGACTGAATGATTTATTTTGAATATTTAAATGTTCTTATTCAAGTTACATAATGTGAATACCCTACATTCCATAAATATTTCGGAGAATTCCCGCCCAAACGCAGGCGTTTTTAAAAATCAAAGTATCTGCAAACAATCAAAATAAAGAATGTTTCTGTCTGCAGTGTTTGTCTACTTTTAAAGTGTCAGCAGCCTCTAACATGTGGTAATTGGTCGACGGACCACTCCTTGTGACGTCTTTACAAGAGCGAAACGGACCAGCCCATCTCATTCTTTAAATATTTCTTGTATCCGTCCAAGTTTCCAGCGCAGTCTTGGAAGGCGGTCATCCCTAGGACTACGTCCCCAACTTGCAGGACTAATTTGTTCCCATCCCTTGTAAGCCGCCGATTGGGTCACATACTCTTGTGACCATCGTTTCCAAAAGCTATCAGCCAACTTTAGACGATTTCCCCAAGCATGAAAAAGAATCCTTCGCGAAGAACTGCCCTCCATATCTTCTAACTTTAAAGTTACTGACTAAGAGGGTCGACCTATGATAATTACGGCTTGTGTGAGTCGGAACGGGTCGCTTTCTCGTCGCTGCAATGCGTCAAGGGACGATTGTTTATATGTTCCTCGACTACTGTAAGTGCTGTCCTCATTTCTTCTTCGATCAGTCAACATCGCTTTTACAAGCGTCTCTTTTAAGGGTGTCTTCACTAACTTCTCCAATCTCTCATAAAATCCTCCCTAGTGGGATGTGCGGTGGGAATGAAATTCCAACGAATATAGCCATACCCTGGACCCTTTCCTGTGTGAAATCGCTTGAGATAACGTCCCGGCTTTGGCGAAGCTCTTTGTCAGCGTTTTTAAACGATTTGAAATCATCAGACCCAATGGCGTCAATCTTGCCTCTTCTTGACGTCATCCTTTTCAAAGGCAATAGATAACTTTCGATGGTCATGCTGCGTGCAAGTGAGCTCGAGATGTACTGCACGTGTTGCACAACACGTAAATAGACAGACATAAGCCTTTTCAGGTTCTTGGAATTCGTTCTCGATGTACAAAGGTCCCAGAAAATCAATATCGACATGGGCGAACGGTGGGGATGGGGTCACTGTTCCGCTGGGAGAGGTGCCATCTTTTGTATTAGGGATGTGGTCTTGAAATTCCGGCAAATGCGACATTGATTCACCACTTTCTTCCTCGACTTCTTCCATGAATGATCCAATACCCTTGTCTTATGTGCGTGAGGGTTTCATTGGTTCTCGCATGTAACCGCTTTTCATAAGCTTCCTGGATTAGCAAGTCTACGAATCTGTTCTGGTGAGGAACAATGGCAGGATATTTTGTTTCCTCGGGAAGGCTTGACTTGTGAACTCTTCCGCCAACTCTGACTATCCCCGTCTCAGTGTTAAGGTACTGGAGATAGATTGTTTAGCCTCTTTTTCTTTGCAAGACTTCAGAACCCTTAAGATAGACTAGTTCATCTCGAAAATCTTTATGCTGTGTGCGTTTGATCAAAAGAACCTTAGCCTCGTTGAATTTCTCCGCTGATAGCATTCCCGTATTCCTTCACTGGGCGAGCCTTTAGCATTTTCCAGAAATCGCAAGAATATGCAGTTACTCGTAGCAACTGTCGAAGAGAAGAAAACCTTTCTGATTCAATGAAGGATTTTGTGTTTTCAATAGAGTTCACTTTCATCACCGAAAAATAGTTTCTCTTCCTCTTGTCTTGTGTAGTCTTCAACTATAACGGTCATTGGCATTCTGGCTGAGAATGAGTATTTGTTCCATCAGTGATTGCAAGATATAAGCTGGGTTGCAGTGATTCCTCTAGGTGGTAAATCTGCTGGGTTTTCATCGCTGGGGCAATACCTCCAACACTGAGGCTCCGTTTAATTGTCGATCTCATTGACCCGGTTCGCTACGTACTGTTTGTACTGAGCAGAAGGGCCTCCAATCCAGTGAAGAGCAGCAGAGCTGTCTGTCCAGCAAATGGACCTTTCAATTCTGCACTTGAGTACTTGTTTCACGTACATTGTGACTGCATAACCGAGCTGCGATAAGTGCGCCATTCAACTCTACCCTTGGGATGAGTCATTGTCTTAAGTGGAGCTACACGTGTCTATGCCATCACCAATGACGCTTGCGCAGTACCTAGTGGTGTAACAGTTCTAATGTAGATTACTTCAGCATAAGCGTTCTGTGAAGCATCGCAGAAGGCATGGATTTCTTTCTCCGTTGGATCTGACAATGAGGAGAAATAGTGTCGAGGAACTTCTACCTGTTCCAGCACTTCCACGTCTTGAAGCCACTTTCTCCATTTTGTCTGAACGGATAGGGGTAATACTTCGTCCCAGCCGTACTGATCTTTCCATAGTTCTTGTACCAATATCTTTGACTGCACAGTTAATGGACTTAATAGTCCCAAAGGATAATAAACCTTAGCCATGAGACTGACAAGTTCTCTTTCGGTTCCACTTTTGAGCTCATGGGCATCAAACTTGAAATTAAGGGTGTCCTACCTTGGATTGCAACTTAATTACACCAAGTGATTTCTGAAACTTTTTGTCATCTTTGAATTCAATTTTCGTCACCGTTGATCTTTGATAATCAGGAAGCTCTTTCATCCCATCTTCTGAATCGCTTGCCCATTTAGCTAGTTGAAAACCGCTGAGAGTCATAAGCTCTGTCAAATCATGATTTAGTCTAGTGACTTTGTCGAGACATCTGATGTCTCTCCTTCTGATGTCTCCTGAACAAAGGTTGTCAACGTAGAAGTCGTCTTTGACTACCTGTGCAGCTTGAGGGAATTTATCTTTATTCTTCTCCGCGTGATATCTTGCTGTCCCTATTGCCAGAAAGGGAAATGGATTACTTCAAAAAATAGAGTCACCATTCGCATGATTCGCGGTGGAGCACCAGAGTCCATGTCTCGCCAAAGGTAACGGAAGACATCACGATCTTCTTCTTCGAGTTTCACTGTCTTGCATGTACATTTTCCGAATATCAGCCATAATCGCAACGCGATGCTCTCTGAAACTTAGTAGGAAGCTAACAAATTCTGGTAGTAATGCTGGGCCTGTTTCTCAGCAATCATTTAATGAAACGCCATTTTCAGTTTTTGCTGATGCGTCAAACACTATCCGATACTCGGTTGTTTCTCGTTCTGGTCTGATCACGACATGATGAGTTACATAATAAACGAGACGACCATCCTTTGGGATAATTTCATTGCATGGACATTCTTCTGAAGTATCCTCTTTTTCGTACTTTTGTATTGCTTCCTGGTGTTCCTTTGGCAATGCAGGATCTCGTTTCAATATTGTCTTTAGATTTGCTCTAATCTCACTTTGGCTTGAGCATAATTGCTCCTGAGAAGATGCTTCTTACTTTTCCAGGGCAACATGACTTTGCAATAAGCATCTTCTTCTTGCTTAATGTTCCTATCAAATAGTTCCATTACTTCTCGATCTCTTAAGGAGGCCGCGGGGTTTGGTTATTGCATTTCATTCCAGTAGTCTCCACTTCAAAAATTCTTCCCATGTTTTCATTAAGCTCTTCATTTGTGATTTGCACTCTCATGGTTCTTGTTTTTTTGTGTCGTTGGACTTAACTGAGTGGACCGCACAAAATCCACCCCAGAGTAGTTTAATCGTACCAGGCGTACCTTTAGGACCAAGGATCTTTGTCTCAGATGTTGCAAATTATAATTCAACATCCTGTCCGATTAAGACATCTACAAATTGCATTTCTCTTGGATAACTATCTGCGAATTTGATTTGGTCAGCCAAAGTTTTTACCGGCCTCCTGGAAAGTTCAACGCGGGTTCAGTAGGAGTGACTTCAAAGTTTCGCCCCTCCCACTTCCCCTGGTGGTGGTTGACGTCGCCTAGCCTCATTATTCGGCATGCCTATTCAGTTGTCCTGGTAGTCGCGGTTTCCACCCATAACTTAGTTCCCCGTGTCGGAAAAAAAGGTATGCAGTGGAAAGATTATACTATACTATACTTCTGTTTCCTGGTGATTCGCGTTGCGACTGTACTAAACGTCTGAGACGTGACCGATCGTAGCGTCATGCTATGCAATAAAGAAATTCATACCTTTAATATGTCATCTTGAGATTACTTCAACTAAAAAGTCTTGGTGTGTTCCAAGTTAATCCTTTTGTGACTATCGTACCCTTTGTTTCCCCCCTTTGAGTGTCTTTAGATACAGTGATCTCAGTTTACTGGAGGCCACCGATAATAATTGGACATGTCTTAGTTTATTGGTTTTTATTAATATGTGATCATGAACGCCGTGGTATCTTAAATCGTATGAAGGCGTTTGACAGGGTCAACCACTCTATTTTATTATCCAATTAAATTTATGTGTACTCAAAGGAACTGCCTATGAATTCGTTTCCTTATACTAATAACATCCCACGCAAAAACGAAATGCAGAGGTTTCCCTTGTAGAAGTTGCGCTTCGACTTTCCGAATCCTCAAGAGGACAATACTGGGGCCTTTGTTGTTTTCCCCACATATTGATTTACTCATTGTTTGCCAATTTTCTGAATCAAGAATGTATGTAAGAATGTATGCTGATGATACACATCTAACTTATAAAGTGTATTTGCATATCTCAGCTCCATTCATGCTTCTTAAAATCCAGATTTGTCCAATATGCATTACTGCCAAGAAATTGATTCTCAATACGACATAAACTGAATTATGTAAAACTGCCTCGAAGCAAAAATCAAACAGTCTATCGGCTCCCTCAGTTTTGAAAATTGTGGTACACAATTAGACGGAGTCAATTTTTCCAAAGTCTCTTGGTGTCTTTATTGACGAAAATTTAACGCGGTGTGATCATATCGACGCAATATCGAAAAAAATCGAAATAGCCACTTGGGCCTCCTGCAACCCACAAAATATCATTCACGGGTTATTTAAATCGTGTGTCGACTGTTATAGTGTTGGATGGGGCTACTCTGGAAAAACATAATCTGAAAAATTGCAGAAACTGCAAGCTTGTGTGGTTCACGTCCTTACTCCAGCTACGAAGCTGGTGCGGCTAAACAACTTTTAAAAAATGGGACTAGTTAGAAACTCGACGTCAAACTCTAACAGCTGTAATGGTCCATGTATCTATAAATGGCCCT